GTGTGTCTCTGCTAAGATGGCATACGCAGCGTTATAAAAAAACAGGGCCGAGGTGAGAAAGCTCACCTCACCGACTTACATAGAAAACGGAAACCCACTGTGCTTTTTGGTTAACTCGTCTTCACCGCGACAGCCGGGCCGCCTCATTGGCCCGCTGCCTGAACCCCCAGCTGCATTCGCGCCTTGTAGGTCTAGAACACTGGGATGAGTCAAGTTGTGATTCGACGTGGCATCACTACCGTAACGACTGCCGCGCACTTGTTCGCTTTGCCTCGAGAATGGCCTCCGTCGACGTTTCAATCCGCCCCAGAACATCGAGATGACTACCGGGCTTCGTGAGAACCTTGGTGGAACACGCACCCCAACGCAGGCACCCAAGCGGATCATTCCTCTTTGCCTTGCCAGTCGTAGAGATGACTGGAGATGACTCGACCTCGACGTGGACACCTTTACGGCGTCGTTCTCTACGATGCATCACAGTTACGTAGCCTGGTGGAGGAATCTCTCATGGCGACTGGAGCAAATCTTTGTTTTGATGTTGGGTGGCCCGCTTCGACGCTTCAACCACGCGGCTGAAGATGACGGGGTCGATGACTCTCTACATGCCAACTAACTCCACACGCCCTGCCAAATGACCTCGCAACGCTCTTCACCACTTCACGATGTGACTTGCCTGAGCAGGTTGGTGGGCGTACCTCAGGGACGGACGGGGAGGGTTAAGCGATCGGGAGGGGACGTTTTGTTTGTACGTCAAGTTCTTTTCATTGCTGACCAAGTGGTCCCTCTGGCAGCTGACCGAAGACCCGTTCCGTTATGGCCATCGTCAGGATGTAGGCACGATATCCGATTTTCCCAACACCGCCCGAAATGCAAAGCAGAAACCATCCACCATTCGTAATCCCGTCCCTTAAACCTCAGCGATCTCTCTCAGACGACGGAGAGTGGAGCGCATGGCAGCAGCGGCGGGGGTGCTATTGCAGAGTGTTAGCGTTCAGTTTCTAGTACGACTTCTCGTCGTGTGACAACATACGCGACAGTGTAGGCACCGCCAGCAACGGTCTTGTTGCAGCCTCTGCAGTTCCAGATGCCGGTGGAGTGGCGCTTGACGGTAGGCTTGCCGCAGAAGGTGCAGGTGTACTTGGCGTGCTGGGAGATTTCCATCTTCTTGACCTGCTTACGCAGGGAGGCACCGTAACGGGTACCGTACTTTCCGGTCACTCCGACCTTCTGTGAGGTTGTTAGAAATCTATGACTTCAATGTTCAGGATTCATGACCCATCGCCGATCGCGTCAAGATAGCCGCCTAGCAGCAAGCAGCCCCGAGATGGGAGTCTAGACGAGAGAGAGATTCGACTTTTGGCCGAGGTGTTACTATTGTTCGTGCATAATTCGAGATAGCTCAATTGTCGACAGTGGGGTAAACCATGTGGTGCACAGGATGTCGGGTGGCTTTCGAGGTCAATGGTTGGGAGCATTTGCCTTCCTGGAGTCGTGATATTTCGTCAAAGCTGGCGTCTTTGGTCGTTCGCTCGTCTCGTATGTGTCTCTCTCTCTCGTCATCGTCTCGCGTTGCGCTCGGGGATACTGCGTAGGCAGCCTGCATGTTCTTCCCTAACCCAACCACCAAACCGAGCCCGTGATGGATGCCATTGTCGCCAATGAGGAAAAATCGTGGGCCGGTTTCGACGCGGGGTAGGGGAGTCCAAGCAATGACGAGAAAGTCGATGAAGCCATTCGTCCTGGATAGGGTAGTAGAGCATTACGAACCTTCGTGCGCTTGGCCATTTTGTCGAATTTTGGGGGGGGGAACGGGTTCGTTGACTTGAAGTGCGACGAGTGGTGTTGACGGTTCCTCCAAGGCGGTTGAAATTTCTAGAGGATGGTGTTGAATTTTGTCAGGGCTTGCCGACTCCGTTTGTGCGCTGGGAAAGCGAGCACGGGCCACAGTTGACGCGAAAAAGGGAATGCGGCAGAACTCCGGCAGTGGGGTTTGACCCGCCCTGACGCAACCCCCGAGTCCATTCTCGCGAGTCTCAAAAACTTGAACCCATCACTACACGTGACCCAGCACCTGACTTCCGGTCGCAGCTTACCTAATGCTCGACTTGGCGCATTGTCCAAGAGGTTGCACTGAAGGGCCTCTTCAAACGCCCGGGGAGGAGGCCGGGAGATCGGCGTCACAGCTGTCCGCTCGGCCCTTCTAAGCCGTAAGTGGAAAGCACAGCGCCCGGGTGGTTGTCACGAAGACGCTAGACCGCCGAGGCAGCGCGGACCAGATGCCTTGAACAGTTGATATCGCCGTTTGCTACATCACAAAGTTTGCGCTCTCGACGGCCGCAGCGTGGAATGTGTCACCTCAATGGACAGCGAAACGGACACATTTTCGACGGATCATCGTGCATCTGTGAAAGGGGCCGGACGTTGGTGCCACTTTTCGTGGCGTGCTGGGATATGTAGACATGGCCGGCCGCCGCATGACTTTTGAGTGTAATCATTGATGTCTGAGACTCTCGCACCCTGACTCTTTTTTTTTTTCTCTCTCTTCAATCCTGCAACTGCACTTCCTTCTTCTATTCTCCTGCAAGACCAGTTTTATCGTTGGCAAGAAACATCGTGCAAGCGTCAGAGATGCCTTTCAAACAACACGGCCGTCAGTACGACTTGGTCGTTTTTGGTGCTACCGGTGTGTATAAGTCGAGGGATGCGGTGATGATGCAACTCAACGTCCAACCGCTAACAACTGCAAAAAGGCTATACCGGGACATTCGTGGCAGAGCACATTACCTCCCATCTGCCGACCAATTTGAAATGGGCAGTTGCAGGCCGATCGGAGACGAAGCTCAAAGGTCTTGTTGCTGAGTGCAAGAAGCAGAGTCCCGACAGATTGCAGCCTGGTACGTTGCAGAATTTTAAGTTATGCCGAGATCAGATGAGTGTCTGATCTTTACCAATTATGTGACTGTGTCGGCGTCTTCCATTCGCAATCGTGCTGGCAACGGATGGGTCTACCACGCGCTCAGGATGGCAAGCTGAGAAACAGCCTGTATTGAAGGGGGGAGTGGTGACGAGGTGCTCGAGAGAGGGGCTGGACATGTCATGCAGATGCAGGCCTAGCCAAATAAGTCACCACTTATCAGTACTAACCCATTTCACAGAAATCGAAATCTGCGGCCTTAACCACGAAGACCTCGAGGCGCTCGCCCAAAAGACCTATATTCTCATCACTACCGTCGGTCCGTATGCAAAATATGGCGAGTTTGCCTTCCGAGCCTGCGCCGAGAACGGCACGCACTACCTCGATGTTACAGGCGAGACCCCTTGGACCGGCACAATGATTGGCAAATATGAAAATGCGGCACAAGAAACTGGCGCCATGATGTTTCCCCAGATTGGAATCGAATCGGCACCGCCAGACCTCGTCACCTGGTCGTTGGCCAAGCAAGTTCGCGAGAAGCTCTCGGCCAAGACGGGCGCCGTGACGGTCTCCATCCACAAGCTGGAGTAGGTTCTTTTCCATCTCGCCGTTCCATTGATGATTATTGGACTGGGGTGATCGTGAAACATTGACAGAACGTTGCTCTAACCCCGAAATTTGTCTGGTAGTTCGGCTCCGTCTGGCGGTACCCTGGCGACGGTCCTCAACTTGTTTGAGTCATTCACGATTCAGCAAGTAAGAGACCAGCACAAACCATATGCTCTCTCGCCCGTTCCAAACAACAACAAGGTTCAGTCGCAGACGTCCCTGCTGACCAAGTTGGTGGGATTGCGAAACGTCCCCAGCCTGGGACTGATGACTACATCTATTGCTGGGATGACGGATACGCCCATCATCCAAAGAACGTGGGGTCTCTTGGCATCTGTGCCTTCGCGCGAGAAGCAGTTCTACGGGCCAAACTTTTCGTTCCACGAGTACATGAGAGCAAAGGGTTACCTCCAGGGGATGGCTATTCACTGGGGACTGGCGTTCTTCGGCTTGCTGCTTGCGACTGCTGCGCCGTTCCGCAAGTTGGTGAAGAAATTTGTTTACGAACCTGGCCAAGGTCCGGACAAGGAGCTGTCAAAGAAGGACAAGATTGAGTACCGTGGTATTGCCAGCCCGGATAAGGAGTCCAAGACGGAGTTTCCCAAGGCTTACTGTCGTGCTTGGTACGACGGCAGCATGTACTACTGTGAGTTAAATTTGGTTTCCTCCAATTGGCCAAACATGACGAAATGCTGACTGGACACGCACACAAATAGTGACGGCTGTTCTGTTGGCTCAAGCTGCGTCGACGTTGTTGGAAGAAGACGTCGACCTACCCGGCGGTGTCTTTACACCGTCGTGCTTGGGACAGCCGTTCATTGATCGATTGCAGGGGGTCGGCTTCCACTTCGAGGAGAAGATCCTGGAGCACTGACGGGCTAGCGGAGTTGTTGGTTCTCAATTGATGATGACTTGAGGAGGATTTCGCTTCAATGTAAACGACGTATGCTGTAATTATTGAAACATATGCTTCGTATTCAAATTTCAATGAACGGGTTCATGTGCGTGACGATCGTTACCGCATAAACTATCTGCCCGCGAAACAAGCTGACAACAGGATGCAACGCCGATTGTCGATGATAGCCAGGGGAGCTTACAACAGCTACCCAAGGTAAGTAAATAGGTCAGGGGTTAATGGTCGTAACCTGAGCCAATTGACAGCACTTGCAGCGCAATGCTTACAATTAGGTTGGCACTGGAGATGCATCCCAGATGTTCTCTACTTCCCATTGTGGGGTTTGTCGCCGGCGCGCTGGATCGACCTAACCGGCCTATCTATCTACCTTAGGTAGAGAGGGCAACTGGGCGCATATCAGAGCGAGGTACTCCGTACCCAAGGTAGGCATCTAAGGAACCTTAGGTACTGCATTCCATGTGGCAGACGTCGGGTAAATTAGCGCCCCGAAAGCAGCTTTCCCCGCAGAATTAGAGGAGCACGCAGCTCGAATGGCCAGGCCCAGGAGGCTCCCCAATTCGTACAAAACTTAGGACGTCATCAGTCCATGGTGCATGAGGTGAGGTGCAAACCCAGCACTGGCCGGACCCAGCAAGCAAAGCACAGGGCAGTCTCGGTCGCTTTCCACATCATCCACACCCAGCAGTGACCTTTCTCCGGAACCCGTCCAGCCGTGGATAATAATCATCTACAACACCTTGTACTCAGTTGCGACATGCGATAACCCACGAACCGACGATATTCTCTTCCTCTGTTCAAGTCGAACCGAATTACAGTTTTTTCTTCTTTTCTTTTCTTCTTCCATATCTGTGATACCCCCTGAGCTGTGAGAGAGGTAGAGGAAAAGAGTAAGAGAGAGCGAGAGAGCGCGTGGAGAGAGAAAGAGAAGAAGGAAGCTTTTTCCGAGGATGGATCAGACAACAACAACAACCGCATCGGCCTCGGCCACCGAGAACACGCCTCTACTACCAACGACAGAACTCCGCCCCAAGTCATCGCGAACCGTCACGTTCAACCCGAACCCCGTATCCAAGACCATCGAGCCAGAGCCCAATTTTCAACGATCAAAATCAAGCCACGGCAACAGCCTGGCGACGAGCCCTGGTCAGAGCTCAGCCCTGTCCTCCATCAACAGCAAGTTGCGCAGGAGAAACAGCCATGGCGCCGTGCAGAGCCTGCCGCCGCAGATGGTGCCCAAGATCGGTCCCCAGCGGAGCACCAAGAACGCGCAGAAGCTAAAGCTCCTGCCCAACCCCGAGCTCAACGAAGAAAGCCCCGACGAGGAGAGCGGGAGGGACGTGTACTCGCAGTACACCAGGATCAAGGACCCCACGGCGCGTAGGGATGCCGCCCGGCTGGGCAAGGCGGACCGCGACAGGCTGCCCAGGGTGACGGCGTACTGCACGGCGAACAAGTACCAGATGGAAGGGCTCATGCGCTTCCTCAAGGGCCGCGGCAAGTCGAGGGGCGCCAACCCCAAGCTCATTGACGAGTGCATCTACACGGCGTACGACTATAGCAAGACGGTCGAGAATAGGCACGATCGTAGAGTTGGCGCGCAGCCCGACCCGGTACAGGCGTACGAGAGGCGGCACTCGACGGGCGACGTCTCGGACAACGGCTTTGCTCGGGACAACCTCATCGACCTTCAGTCCGAGGGCCGGCACGACTCTGGTTTCGCCGACGGGTTCGAGGGCGCCAACAACGAGCACGCGATGGTCGAGACCAATCCTGACTTTGACACGCAAATCCACACTCCGGAGGTCTTCCTCTTTGACTACGGAGTGGTTGTGATATGGGGCATGACTCTGGCCCAAGAGCAGAGGTTCCTCAAGGAGCTTGCCAAGTTCGAGACGGAGAAGCTGTCGCCAGATGATGTCGAGACGGAGCACTTCAACTTTTACTACACAAAGGAGTATCAGGCCCGTATCTACAATGACTTCATCACCCTAAGGGACAAGAGAAACTACATGACCAAGCTGGCCATTTCTCACGCCCTAGCACAGAGCGTCAAGGTAAGGAACATGTTGAACGAAGGAGGAGATTGCTCAGTGACTGACCTATTCGGGATAGACATCGCTGTTCGAGGAACTGATTGCTTCAACCGTCGACACATGTAAAGACATCCCCACGCAGATCGCGCTGACGGGCAAGATCGCCCTCAGCCGCACGCAAATCAACATGCAGATCGGCGAGCTCTTCATCCTCCGCATCAATATCCATCTCAACGGCTCCGTCCTCGACACGCCGGAGCTGTTCTGGGTCGAGCCGCAATTGGAGCCCGTGTATCAGGCTGTCCGAACCTACCTCGAGATGGACCAGCGCGTCGGACTTCTAAACGAACGCCTGGATGTCATTGCGGACCTGCTGGCGGTCCTCAAAGACCAGCTCAGCCACGGACACGGAGAGAAGCTGGAATGGATTGGTAGGCCGACCCCCCGCGCCCCTTTTTCTTGCTTACCGCGCGGCCTTTTGCTGACAACGCCTACCTATAGTAATTGTACTCATTGCGGCCGAGATTGTCGTCGCAGCCATCAATATCGTGGTTGACTTGTACGCATCGGATTAGTAACATTTATGACACGCATACAAAGTAGGGATTGGGATTATTTTTTTCTCTTTTTGCACAGCGGGTTCTTCACAGGCGAGGGAAAAAGCTCAGCAATTGGGAAGGTAATTCGCACAAAACAGGGCACACAGAACATCCATGAGCCCCGTCAAAGTGGTGCAATAGAGAATGGGCTTCACAGCGCAGATCACGTAGCTGGAGAGTGAGGGTGCTATCCTAGTCAGCAGCAGCAACAAACCACTCCGTTTCCGAGGAGTCGATTATGGTGTCTCTCGTATTGTACAAATAAATAAAGAATGTTCTACCCGCAAAGTCCCTCCCCAACGCCATAATACCTGATTACAAGGACGATGTGCTGCGTGCTCATCAATCGTCCGCCTTGTCGTCCTTGTCGTCGGCCGCGGGCGTGTCGTCTGCCTGCTCCTCGGTATCGTAGTTGGTCATCTCCACGTCTTCGTCCTGTGACGCAGCTGGTGCGGGCTCTGGTGACTTATCGCGCTCTTCATCATCTTCGTCCTTGGCCTCTGCGCTCTTGCTCTTGGCCGCAAATGCGTCCTTTTCCTTTTGGTACTTGGCCATCTCCTCCTCAGAGCGGGTCTGGAACTCCTCCTTTTCGCCCTCCGGGAGATCCTTCCAACCGCGGGCGAGCTCTTCCTCAATGTTGGCATCGGCGTCGTCCTTGTTCTTCTCCTCAAGAGCGGGCCGCGTGTCGGCGCAGTACATCTCGAACGCGTTGCCGGGGCGCTTGGGCGGCTTCGCGATGCCGTTGGTGCGGGCCGACGCCTGGGTATCGGCGTTCTGGGTCGCGTCGCCGCCCTGGGTGTGGGAGAAGGTCTCGGAGCTGGGTGAGACGGTGGCGGCGGTCTGGCTGAGGGGCCTGGAGTTGGCCTTTGCGGCCGAGTCGATCTCGGCCAGGACGGAGGGCTTGCGGTGACCGCGTTTCGTACGCAGAGGCTTTTCTTGCGGCTGAGATGGTGTCAGCATCCTGCTTTGTCGTCGAGGTGGGCTTGGCGGAGGGCCTACAGTCGGGGGCGGGCTCGGGCTGCCGTCTGAATCCTCCACATTGGCGCTCGTTCTCTTGGCCAGCTGTTCGAGCAGGAAGGCTCTCTCCATCCGCAGCTTCTCAATTTGCCGTCGGATCCGGGCGAGGCGAACTCGGGTCGCGTCGTTTTCCTCCTCGACCTCGCCAGTGCGCTGCTTGAGCTGAATGCATTTTCGCCGATAGGCCTCTTCGACGGAGGGAGGTAGGGAAGGCGGAATCGCTGAGAGGTCGATCGCGGGCGGGTTAGCTCGAATGATCTTTTTGGGAGGCATTGTGCGTGCGTGGGCTATCTGGCGATGTTCCAATCGTATCAAGTGTGAAGAGGTGGGAGAGAATTGGCTTTTTTCCCCCAAGACAAGGTACGGGGGAATGAGTTGCGACAGAATGGGGTTCGCGGCGGATGTCAAGCGGAGCTTTGCGAGGGTGGTAGGTTCATTGATTTTCCAAGGGAGTTTACAAACGTACCGGATTGCGGAGCCATTATTACGTATCTGCAAAGGTCAAGAGTGATGAGGGTAGTACAGGGCACGCCGAACGGACGAAAGAGATGAGTTGAGGTTCGATTGCGACGCGGATCTGAAGATTGCAGAGTTGGAATTGGATAAAAGAGCGCGCGAGGGAATGGGCGATCGTCGTCACAAACCAGCACGCAGCAAACACGCCAGCTGGGAAGTGCGAGGCTGGCAGCTGCTGCTGTCTCACACAGACAACAGGCACGCACCTGAACCTTGGGGGATTGGAAGCAGGGGTTCCAGTGTTACTTTCTCCGCCCGGACGGGGTGGTTCCAGCACCTCTCAAGCTGTGGCCCAAAGTTTAGAATGCACCAGATGCGCCGGATCGGAACAATGGCTCGCCTGCAGCGTCGTGATTGGTCATCCCCGGTACCAGCCCACCAAGGCTGCAGCAATACGCTCCCGCACCACACACGCCTTGCACCCAGACTTTTTTTCGAAAGGCCTGCCGTGGAGGAGGAGCTGCCGCAACCATATCATCAACACACAGGGTACATTCTACACTGTTGTTTTTGAGCCTCACGACTGACACCGCCCCGATTTACGAAGCGCATCAGGTCGGTGGCCCATCATGTCTCTCAACATCCCCAACGCGCCGAACGCCAACCTGTTCAAGCAGGGGTACAACAAGTGAGTCCCCTTTTTGCAATCTGGAGCTCCCCTCCCCTCCCCCGCCTTGGATGCCCGTCACCGACACTGACCCCTCGTAACCAGCTACGATTCCGAAGATGGAGCCGTCCTTCGCAACATCGACGCCTGCCGGGCCATCTCCTCGACGGTCCAGACGTCTCTTGGCCCCTACGGCCGCAACAAGATCGTCATCAACCACCTCCAGAAGATGATCCTCACCTCAGACGCCGCCACTATCCTCAGAGAACTCGATGTCGTCCACCCGGCAGCCAAGCTCCTGGTCATGGCCAGTCAACAGCAGGAGGCCGAGATGGGCGATGCCACCAACCTTGTCATCGTCCTCGCTGGCGAGCTGTTGAAGAAGGCTGAGGACCTGCTGCGTATGGGCTTGAAGACGTCAGATATCGTTACCGGTTACGAGCGTGCACAAAAGTTCGCTCTCGAGACGCTCGAGGAGCTTTCTGTCGACAAGGTGGAGGATATCCGCTCGCAAGAGGAGCTCAGCAAGGCTATCCGCACCGTCGTCGCCAGCAAGCAGAACGGCAGTGAGGACTTCTTGGCTGACCTTGTCGCCGAGGCCGTCCTGGCAGTGCTTCCCAAGAACCCCGTCGGTTTCAATGTCGACAACATCAGAGTCGTCAAGATCATGGGTGGTGCTCTGGAGCAGAGTCGGGTAGTCAAGGGTATGGTCTTCCCCAAGGAGCCGGATGGATCGATCAAGAAGGCGCAGCGTGCCAAGGTCGGAGTCTTCTCCTGCCCCATCGACACCAGCCAGACCGAGACCAAGGGAACCGTTCTCCTCCACAACGCCAAGGAGATGATGGACTTCACCAAGGGCGAGGAGTCGCACCTCGAGGCTGCCATCAAGGAGCTCCACGATGTTGGTATCAGAGTAGTCATTGCTGGCTCAACCGTCGGCGAGCTGGCCCTCCACTACCTTAACAGATTCGGCATCCTTGTCATCAAGATTCTCAGCAAGTTTGAGCTGCGAAGAATTTGCAGAGTGGTTGGCGCAACCCCTCTTGCCCGGTTAGGTGCACCGATGCCCGATGAAATGGGTTCCATCGACGTTGTCGAGACGCTCGAGATTGGTGGAGACCGTGTGACCGTGTTCAGACAAGAGAACGAGGCCACAAGAACAGCGACCCTGGTCCTCAGAGGAGCTACCCAGAACCACCTGGACGACGTCGAGCGCGCTGTTGACGACGGCGTCAACGTCGTCAAGGCTATCACTAGAGACCCTCGCCTTGTACCCGGCGCGGGTGCCACCGAGATCCAGCTCGTTGAGAGGCTGAACGCTCTCGGCGAGAAGACCCCTGGTCTGTCGCAGTACGCCATTCGCAAGTACGGCGAGGCCTTTGAGGTCATTCCGAGAACGATTGCAGAGAGTGCTGGCTTGGATGCCACGGAGGTTCTTAGCAGGCTGTACGGAGCTCACCACAAGAAAGATGACTGGGCCACCGGTGTCGACGTTGAGGTAGGCCCAATGGTTTCGTTTTCCCTGGAACGCCACGCTAACTTTTCCAGAATGACGACGGCTCTGGCACCCTTGACGCCCGCGATGAGGGCATCTTGGACCTGTTGGTCTCCAAGTCATGGGCCATCAAGCTCGCCACCGAGGCAGCCCGCACCGTCCTTTCCGTTGATCAGATTATTGTGGCTCGTCGGGCAGGTGGCCCCAAGCCTCCTGGTCCCAACCCTGTAAGTCATATCTTGTGTGTACATCGACTACAACGTGCTGACATGCAGTGTAGAACTGGGATGAGGACTAAATGGGTATATACGGCGGCTGGTAATGGAGTTCATGTCGGTTTTGATGATCATAGACCACCCCAAAAGTCACGTCGAGATATCCCGAATAGAGTCCCACAGACAAATGCAAGTGCGCGAGCACGCCTACAGTGATGCTTCCCAATGGGTCAGGATGGGACCGAGTGAACGCGACAACTGAGGTACAAGGCAAGGGAACGGTAAGTGTGATACATCCCTTGGTTCACAGAAAATACGCGCTTGCCACCATCCGGTCAAGGGTACTGTCAATGACTACACCAGACAGTCACCCCCTTGGTCCACCTCAATATCGCCCCACCACCTGTGTTCTTCCTGCTGAATCATCACCACCGAAGATTCACCTCTTTGAGCAGTGCATAGATCAGACTATTTAGGGCAAGGGTCATTGGGACGTTGCCAGACCGGTTTCGTTACTACATTGGGAAACTGACCGCTAGGAAAGTATCTGTACTAGTGAGCTCTTGTGAAGCCCCTGGCTCACCTTGCCCAAGGGGGGAGATGGGATTGATACCCAAGCTCACATCGGCGCCATCAAACATCTCGCATGGTAGATAAGATTATGGCTGGAACAATAACCATTTGACCCACTCGCAGATTCCAACACACATGTTCTGTTCATCACAGCCAAACGCGCTAGACCTACTCTCCCATATGCCAGGCACCGCTCAAGCGCCGGCAACCTTGAAACCTCCCGGCATCAGATCCGTAAATACTCTAGCAGGATCATACTTGTTGCGAATTTCCTTCAGGCGGCCCAGGTTCCCCGTCAGATAGCTCTCAAAGACAGGCTGGCCGACATCTGCCTCGTTCAGATAGTAGAACGGATACAGCGCGCCCACGGGTTCCAATCTCTCCCTGACTCTAGTGTTGAAGTCGCTGATAAAGGTATCAAAGACTTGGTCGTCCGCCTCGTCCGTCCAGCTGTACGTCTGCTCGATCCAGCACGCAGGCGACTCGTCGATGTTCTGCAACGCACCCGGCTGGGCGTTTGTGGCTGCGAGAAAGGCCCAGGTGATGGGATTGAAGGCGAAGCCGATGATGCCGCCACGCGTTTCCTTAAAGGCGGAGTTTGCGAGCTCAAAGAACATGTCGTGGGCGACGAGCATCGCCTCCTTATTGGCGTAGATGGGGAGCATGTGGAACCGCTGTCTGGAACCGTAGGGGCGGCCGCCCTCTTGGAAGGATGGTTCGATGGCCTGGTGGTAACGCCCCATGAGAAACGGGGCGAGGGACCTTGCGCTGTTGTCCGGGGTTAGTAAGTCACCGAGGAAGTCTCCCAAGACGGCCGGATGAGTTGCGTTTCCGTTGCAGAAGAGCGTCGAGGAGTACGTCGGCCCAACGGTTCCGCTGACGTAGGTAATGACGGGCAGAACAGCAGCCTTGGGATCATTATGCCCGTTAACGGGGAAGTTGTATACGCTGTCGATGAAATGTTGCTTGACCTCTCCGCCTCGGTACGAAGGCGACGCGATCATCACGGATGGTGAGCGGTGTGTCTGGAGATCGAAGCGAGTAACTAGACAGAGCGAGTTTCCGCCTTCCTGAAGCGCCCAGAAGAGATCTGCGTGGTCGTTGGATAGGGTGACTTGCACGATAATGCCATCAGCCAAGACGCACTTGCCCTCTTGTGTCAGTTATCTCAGAACTCGGAGTGCTCGCGCGGTGTGTCTCACACACCTCATATGCCTTGATGTTGCCGTTGGTCGACGCCAATCCGTACTCGTAGCTGAAGAAGGAAATGCCGCCTCCCAGCAAGAGCCCGGAGACGCCTATCGGGCTGCCTCGGCCGCCGAGAACAGTGACTTCCGTACCGTCGAGCGCCGTGTATACGTCAGACCAGCGGAGACCAGGGCCAATCGTCAACGTGTCGCGGCCGTCGGAGATTTGGAGGGTTCGCATGTTCCTGCTCGATATCAGGATACCGGTGGCGTCGATGCTGCTTGCGTTGGAGATGGGCATATGCCCACCTCCACGCATGGCGAATTCGACTTGCTGGTCCACGATGCGTTTGAGGCCAGATGATATTTGCTGAGCGTCGAGCGGTGCAAATATGCAGGCAGAACGGAGCCAAGACCTCGCGGACCACGGAACTGGGCATTGGATGCCATATCAGTGAACCTGCTGGGCTTGGAAAAGTTCAAAGAACGTTGAACTCACCTTGGACCTAGTAGCTCAAGTGGCTTAGGGGACAGAAGCAATTTCAATGACCCAGTCTAATCATCTTACTAGTAAACTAAACGCATAATGTCGGATCCTTGACTAGCTGTCAGCCCAAGGAAAGACGAGATCCACTGGGCGGTAGTCGTCGGCCAGGCAATTTCCAACTAGAATCATCAATACTGATACTGCTCTGGCCCAAACATGTTTCCAATTTCGAGAAAAGAGTTAGACACGTGCCGATTACCACGAGGGGCATTTAGTTAGTACAACAGTCTCATGTCCATCTCTAGGAGACACTTGATACTTAGGACTCTTCGCCGTGGACAATAATTAGCTAGAAGCTTGCAAAGAACTACATGCAGCAAACGAGGAAACCCAAGAGGCTCTTGAGTGTCAGAAACATCATCTCCGCTTACCAGGAACAATCTCAACAGAATTGAATTGGCCAATTATCGGATTGGTAGTTTCAGCATAGCGCCCACCGGGCTGCGCAGCCCTTCAGATTATTACCTGTAAATGTAGATTCATAGGTCATTTCGTCTGCTAATCTACTACGATACTTCACGACGCTGAATTGTATTTTGGAAAGCTGGCTATGGGACCCGAGTTGAGTAAAGTCCGTATACAATGACGAAGAACGGAAGCGAACCCAAAAGGCACATCAAAAAAAGTAGTACCACCTTGGTCGGACATGGTTGTCTTGGCGTCCAATATATGTCCCGTATCGGACCAGCAATTGGGCCGATGTCGCTTGCATTTGATCTTAACTCATAGTTATTTGGGACAACTCTTTCGAGTTTATCCGACTCTTTGCATAATAAAGTTGATTGCTCTTACCGACTTTACTTCTCGTTAGCAGTTTGTATAATCTCCAGCTCTTTTACAAGTATCACGGAATCCAATTGCCCTAGCCCAGCTACAGATGTATCGCGAAGCTCGTGAGTACCCGTCTACACATCGTGACACTAGATACCTTGAAGGCCCTTCGTGAGATCATTATGACACCATATGACGGGATCACCCCAGTGCTCGAGGGTATTCCGCAGTAAGAGCGCCATGTCTGGTTCAACTTTGACGAGGACATGCTCTCCGTTGGGGACACAAGTTTAGGAGACTTTCAAGCAGTGCCTGATCAAATTCGCCGGCTAAGGCCTGACTGTCTCCACGAACGATTGATTTTCCCGCATAGAGTTGCTGTTGATCAGTAGACTGTTGAGGAATGTTGCCGAGGTTCATATGATTTGCCTGGAGGGCACTCGGGCGGGCTGAATGAAGACCTCGATCAAGAGAGGGAGAAAGTAGAAAGTAGAGGCGGAAATCTATCTTAACTACCTTGAGCAAGCACACACTGCATCTGTATTAAAAGTGTTTTTTTGCGATTGAGACAGCCAACAAGTCCGACCCCTGAGTCATTGGCGCTGAACATTGTCTAAAAAGCCCATCACCTGGGCAAGACAACAAACCTATGTTTTCTCAAACTTGGGGAAAGATGTACAGAACTTGTTCCTACGTTTGGATTCATGCAGTTTCGGCCTCTGAGGCTGAATAGTAAGGGTGATTTGCTCGAACAGCTCCGTCAATTCTGCGCTTGCTCTGGGCTGTTCCAAAGTCTCAAGATACATTGCGAAGACCTTTTCAGAGCTCTCCCGAGGAACATGCCACGGGGATCTTTGCGTTTGTTGCTGGATCAAGATGACCAAGTTTTGAGACTTGGAAACGCCGCTGAGGGTGTTCCCGACGAAGATTTTCCCTACGAGGCATTTTGTCATGAAACAGAGTTTGTACGAGCAAAGCTATGTTTATATAGAGTAGCTTACGTCGCAATTCTCTTATGAAGTTATGGTATACCGTTGTTGGCGTTGTCTGGAGTAAACACCAGGCAACCTCACCGCATGGGGCAAATGAGCATCACCACAAGCTTCATCCGCCACATACGACCATACCCATTGGAAAACTCGGGATCCCGTCCGCTCTCCCATAGATAAGCCAATGAGGGCCGGATTAGTAGTTGGGTCGGTGACGACCAGCGAATACCTGGTGTTGTATGCCTTTTGAAGTTTTGGCTATTGTCATGATCCACTTAGGTGGAATACAGCGGACGGCGGGGACTAGGCGCCTGGGGAATGACGTCGAGATTGGCCAAAGCTCCTGTCGTGATTCTTTGCAGCGCGTGATAAGTGTGTGTTGATTCAACCTCAACGCGGTTACCCCTTTTCTTTTCGCAACAGACATCCTGTCCTGACCCAGAGGATGCATACTCTTAATGACAACGGAACTTCATTGTGTGTATATCTTGAGGACTTGCCTCATCTTTTGTACGTTGAGTCTGGCAAGTCTCGATATAAAGAAACACTAAGAAATCGGTTTGTAGGAGAATGAATTCGCTCAAACACTATGACATTATCGTGGAACGTTCTCTCCTCATCGAAGACAACATCAAATCTCTCTAAAGTTGCTAGTGCCTCTCGGCATTCCTCTTGATATTTTTAAGCCCGACTGAATGCATCAGTTGCTCTCTCTTCTTACCTAGTACGATGGCTCCGTTATTCCACGAGTTGGTCAAGGGCATCAAGGTCCTGTCATTGGCGGCCTGTATTGCCTGCTTCCACTTCTCCTCAGCGTCCCGCTGTGCTTCAATGGACTTGATACCGTCGTTCTGGAGCTTCTGAAGAAGTTTAGCAATCATGTAAACATGGCTCTCAAGGAATTGTGGCCCATTGTTAAACGCCGTGGGTGCTAAATACACATGTTAACAATCGGATAGTAGCAAAAGCTCTGTTGTTGTTATGACGCACCCTGAGGCCCGTAGACCATGGATACGTTGGGGAATTTATTGAAGCAAAGTCCCAGATAAGTGAAGACTCTATCTTTCCATCGATCTACAAAGGTGATGCCATCTCTCCCTTAAATATTCATCTTGGTCAGGCTCCCCGTCATGGCGTCAAAGCCTGTCGCCATTACAATCTTGTCGAATTTGAGCTCGGATCCGTCCTCGCATGTAACTCCTGTCTGTGTAAACTCTCGTCTCGGAGTAACTTTGAGATCGACAATGCTAAAGGTGTCTCAATCGAGACACTCGTAGTAGTCTTGCTCAAAACTGCTATTCTTGATCCCAAATACGAAAGGTGCTTTCTCGGTACAAGGAATGCGGCTTTGGCAGGATTCTTGACTCTCGGGCGTGTCTTCTTTGCCTAGAACTTGTAATCGAGTCTGTTAGGCTTATCAGGGAGAAAGTCTCCGTAATTTGCTTGACTGAAATTGAAGCCACCACGATTCCAAAGTTCTTTCCAAAGTTCTTCCCAAAGTTCTTCCCGTTCCGCATCACTCAATTCAAGCACGAACCCGGGCTGCATGTCGTATCCGAGACGCAAATGGATATTCCTGCAATATTCAAACATCCTACGACAGATAAATTTGCCTATTGCCTACTCGAGGTCACTTCAGGGACGCTGAACCATGGAGAGTGAGATACTGGCGGTGCGATTGTAGACTGCCAGATACTCTGCCACCTTTGAGATCTCTTGAGTGCACTGTACAGCTGTTGTACCTAAACCGATGATGGCCACTTGTTTGCCTACGATCTTGGTATCAGCTGGCCAGCTGTTTGAGTGGATGAGTTGTCCTTTGCATTCGTCTAGACATCGAAAATTGGGACAATACGGCTTGAAACACAAGTAGAACCTGGCCCGCCTGAAGGCAGACCGATTTAAGATGATTGCGACAACACTTCATTTGCTATAAAAACTATCTCAACGAATCTTTCGATCATTCTTTCCCCTGAGAATTGAGTGAAACATAAGCCGAACTTGCAGCTTGTTACAATCCGTGAACATATTGTTGGTTCAAAGCATTTCTAAGCTGCTCAGCCATGAGTTTTGCCTCCTTTCGACGCCTTCGATGCCTTAGATGCCTTCGAATTGGCTGATTCGACTGAATGCCACGAGTTCAGGGAATTCTTGCCGTTTTGACCTATGTCACCTCTGTCCATACGCAGGTGATTCAAATCGTGCTGATAGTCATCCTCTTTACTATTGACTTCACCTCTTGATGCTCTTGAACCTGGAAGATTTGGCGCATTTCGCTGCTTCTCTTTGGCCTCCCTACTCCTTTGGGATCGCTCAGAGTCTAAGGAGTGCTGGCAATTTGTACCACATTTTTTGGCATTGGCTTTGTCGAGGTTGTTGATGTATTTTGCGTCGTCTGGTCGTAGTTGATCCCTGTGAAACTTCTTGTCGTCGGCCTTTAATTCAGCTTTCGTGGGCTTCTTATTTGCCCTTGGGGCGATTGGAAGGTCATTGTTGGGAGAGACGTGAGCGATCTCCTTGTCATTTTGCTGATTGGACATTCCGGCATCTTCATTGTTTAAGCCAAGGACATCAACTACGGCCTCATCCCTAGGTTGAAGATCAGGCTGATCTATGACTATGACATCAGAATCAGTAGGAAAGGTCTTGAGGCTTCTTCAATTCACCTTCTTCCCCTCCTTTGATTTCAATAGTGTTGGAGTGCATGCCATTTCTGAATGATGGCGCCGAGGCGTAGGAGAGATCGGGTGAGACGACAATGGGACGTGCGGCTACAGAGGCTGCAAGGGTTTCCAAGAGGACGATTATAACGAAGTGCATGTTGCGGAACTGGCTTTCACCTGGTGTAAGATAAAAATGTAAGGTAGTAGAGTACTGAGATCCCTTGCAGAGAAAGAGGAACAACAAGATGGCTTCAAGTGGGCTCAAGGCTGTTTAAATCTGTTACGCAGAACTTCCTCTCTGCTCAGGAAAAGATAGGCTTCATTTGTTGTATGACTCGCTCTCACTCGAGTGTGGAAAGTATCGACTTGAAGAGCAGTCAATCGTCCGGTTAAGATTTATATTAGCGCGGATATTGAGTTAAGCTAGAGCTTTTGTGTTGTACCTTACATAGAGTTAAGCAAGAGAAGTGAGGCGAAAATGCGGCATTTGAAACCAGCAAAACTTGCTGGAATAGGATGTTCAGAAAGAAGACTAGTTCTCTAGCAAGCTTTCAGGCAGCTGTGGTGGTGAGACTGGTCTCCCCCTCTCAAGGTCGAAAGCCTTGAGGGATGAGCTGGTTGATAGAAGCCAAGATAGGCAAATTACCCCTCTCCATCTCCTCATTCACCAATGATCCTCGTTAACTCAATTCTTCGTAGTACGCCACTGAGCGGTCGACATCATAGAATTCAACTAGATCCCTGCCCTCACTCCGCGCACCAACAATACTATCACAGACGAGCGAGGACACACTACGTGAAAAGTGACGCGGCCGATAACTTTGTGAGTAGTAGGCTGGTCCGGTATTGCGCCGAATAGGAAATGAGCCGATGGATCGCAACGAGTGGTCCTGAACGATGACTTGGAGCTTAGTTTTCGCTGTGGTGGGCCGTATGGGTGTGCTGAGAAGAGTGTGCGCTTAGATCCGATTTGAACGTCATGCTTTTACCACCCCGCAAACAGGGAAAGGGTGTAAACCTTATGCCTGTCTGGAGATTCGTAAGTGCATCTAGAACTCTTCATCGACCGTCAAAAAACGGCCGTCGAAAATCCAGATCAATATTTAGGCTCGAATTCTTACTTTAAGCCTCGCAAGCCTTATGATCTTAACTGTAAGCTTATGATTTTTGCGAGATGCCGACTTCACGGGCACTTGTGTGGAAGTGCCCTAAAGATGACTGCTTCCTAAATACTGCAATTCAACTTGTAGGCAAGAAGATGCGGGCCGGCGTAGTGTAGTGACATGCACTTGGCAAGGCCTCTGAAGCCCAGAATGTTGGTATCCCTATTACAGGGTAGTTGGCTCGAACCGTCCGGTTCTGTGGGTGACGAACGGTCAGTTGCTGTCTATTGCTGCGTGTTATGTAAAAGGGAGGTTCCAACCGTAGGTTCCAACCGTAGGTTGGAGGGTCAATTGGGGTCTAGTTGAGGATCGAATTGGCCCCTGCGCTGCCCTTGACACGTAGTCGAATTAGACTTCCAAACCAACACAGATGTCGCTGGTTCAACCCCATTTACCGGCACGTAAATTCCATGTTTCATGAATCTGGGACCTGTAATAACACTAGGCTTACGCTGCTCGCATTTACCGCACGATTTTAAGGAAGCGGAAAACCCGGCTGCACCTGAACGACAGAGCGGCATTTATAGACGGTAGTTTCCACTCTAGTATGCATACAGTGCTAAGAAACTTTAGACGTAACTAGCTATTAAAAGAGCCCTATCTTTGATGTTTTCCCGCGGTAAAGCTACTTACCGCTACAAATATATGGAAGAAAGCATTTGGACATTCTGGCAATCTAGAAACGATTGGGATGGCCTGCTTGACACCAATGACCTGCTGTAGTCCACTTGCCGTCCCGTCGGCTTGACCAAGTAGCAGACATGTCCAGCTCACAACAGTGACAACGAATCCAAGTGACTAAGTCAAAAAGTCTGCAAATGTGCCCGCTCCTTTAAAACTCCGACCATCCAGCTTCGATAATCGTTCAATCATAGTCCTCCAGCTTCGGGCCATTGAATATACCTATCCCGAAGACCTTTCCACATGATGTACGACGCCATCATCTTTCGGCGCAATATTGAGGTTGGAATCCATTTCATGGTCGGCAGCCTTTCTGTACTCCTCTTCCTCATCCCGGGTAGCATGGGTGTAGTGGGCAGCCACTTTCTCACCAAAGGCCTCGTTGATATCTTCGAGAGACTTCTTGGAAGTCTCGGGGAAGTAGAGAAAAATGACCACCAAGTAGCATGCTGTAGGTACAATGAGCACAAGGAAGAACCTCCAAGTGATTTTCTCCAGGGCGATGGGTGCGACCATGAGCATGACCAGCGCTGCCAGAGCACTGTTGACGATGCCAAAGGCACTTCCCTGACTGCGAATGTGGTTCGGGAAGATCTCTGTCAGATACACGAACTGCGTAGCATCTATGCAGCAGCCGAAGAATGCGATGAAGAGGTAGATGAAGAAGACGGCAGCATTCAGACCTGCAATGTTGTTCGTACCGAGATATTTGGCCTGCAAGGCGCACTCGCAGATGAGTGAGACCAAAATGCCAGAGATTCCCACGAGAAGAAACTTGCGGCGGCCGAAGCGGTCAAGGAAAAGTGCCGTAATGATGTTACCGAGGAAGCCAACTGTGACCCAGATTCCGAGAAGGAACAATGGCATATAACCCTTCAGGCCAAGACTGATGAACAGGAGAACGCCATAATTGGCCAGAACAAGGGTTCCGGTAAGCTGGGCCCCCCACATGAGTATCATGGCGATGATGGTCCTCTTGCGATTTGGTGCGGTCCGCAAAAGCTCGTACCAGACGATGCCATCGTGACTCTCTTGATCTTGTTCGACTTGCCGTCGAATTTGGTGAAATTCCTTGGCAACGCGCTCGATGGAGACTTCGTCGTTGAATGCATGCAAGCGTTTCAACACGGTTTGGGCTTCTTCGAATCGTCCCTTTCGCATGAGCCATCTTGGAGAGTAAGGTAGCATAAATGACCCAGCAAGAAGGATCATGACGGGTGCTGCCTGGAAAGCCATGGGGAAGCGCCAAGGAAAGCTCGATGTAGAGCCGGATGCCGTGATAAAGTACACGCCGAAATTGATCCAAGAGCTCAGCGAATAGCCCATGCCAATCATTATACCGTGTATCGACACCATAAATCCGCGGGTCTCTGGCGTGCTAATCTCGCTCTGATACATGGGAATGATCTGTTGATGACTGTTGTTTAGCAAAGTTCGGACTTGCAGTCGCGCTTGGGTGGAAACGAACGCTGAACAGCATGCCAAGGCCAAATCCTGCAATGACGCGCGCGATCAAGAACATTGTAGTATTGACTGATCCAGCGCAGAGACCAGCTCCAATGCTCATGATCGCGGATCCAAATTGCATGCTGTGTTTTCGAGAAAAGCGATCCGCGGACCAGGCACTAAAGATTGCTCCAAGAACGGCGCCTGCAGAACCGAGGCCTATGACACCGAATAATAGTTAGTCGTTTTGGGTTGACAACTTCGCATGGCGTCCCTGGTGAACATAGGTCGTACCGTTGAAGGCTCCGATCAAGGCACTTGTGGTGTCATAGCCAGGGGTGCCCGGTGGTGCCAGATTCAGTGATATATAGAAAGATGGCTGCCCTATGATGGCTCTACGGTTCAACCTCGTCAGCGGCTTCGCATCCTCAAAGACACCACCGAGAATCATATGCAAGTGGGGATGAAGAGGATAAAAGCTTACCCCATAATTGCGAGGCCATAGGAGCAGGCAATGGAGCCGATTGCAACAAACACCACAACCCAGAAGTTGAAGACGTTTGGAATGAATCGAGCCATGGCAGTGACAAAAGTAAGGTAAAGTAATAGGCAGAACAAGACAGAGGATGATCGTTTGGGAGATTTTCAAGAGCAATAGGGAGTAAACAACTGGAGCCCATTCGCTTCGTTCCTGGCTGGAGAACGCTTTATATCAATGAACCCAACTCAACTCTCTTCAGTATCAACACAAGGTAGCGGCAATGGGGGACGTGATGAGAAGCATTTCTGGCATGGGCCAACCCCTCAAAGGCATTTCAGCTGGGGGCGAGACGGGGCACAGTTGATCGATTTTCAAAGGCAACATCTACTCGATGTATCCCACCGGCTCCTGGACCTGATCATCCTGTGAATAGTATTGTACAATTACACCGAACCGCGAGATATCAAATTAATCTCTCCTTTTGGATTAGCGTGGTTGTCGCATGGGGTCGCGGCGGTTCTATAGTTGCGGAGACGGAAAATTGCGGGGACGAGTGCGGGGAAGAAACCTGGGGTAAAGCGGCAAGCTTGGATGGCAAATGGTTGCATAAGGCCAGATCCGCGGCACCTACCTACTACATATGTACCTCGGCCTGCTGCCGCTTGCCGAAAACACTGCACTGGCCCCCTGGCCTGTCTCTCTCCAACCCCATGATTGACGACAAGACGATGAGATGAGTTCGGCTCCGAAGACGTCCACTACCGCCAGGTCTACACTGGCTGCTGCAGCAATGGCCGGCAGCACCAAGAGGAAGCGCTCTGCTATCGCATGCACTGCCTGCCATCAGCGCAAGGTTCGTTGCAATCTCGCCGCCCAGGGTCCGCCCTGCACGAACTGCTCGGAGGATGGCAATGTACCCTGCCGCGTATACGGCAGTCGGGCCCCGCCTGATGTCCCGCCGCCGCCGCCGCCGCCGCCACCTCCCATATCTCCGGCCATGCCGTCGCCGTCCAGCTCTTCACAGCATCTACCTGGTAGAGGAGACGAACACTCCAGTCCCGATCTGGATCCAGGTCTGGGCCCATCTTCGGAGCGGCAGTATCGCCCGACCAGTATTGAAAACCTACTGTGTACCGCACATGACCCAAGTTATGCACCTGGCACCCCAAATGCTCCTGTCCTCTACTATATTGGTTTGTTTTCCATCTCTTCTGGCAATGAGGCAAGACCCCTCAAGACTGACGTACTCGGGCCTGTAGGCGAGTCTGCTGGCATGGCTTTGCTCTTCGACATTTGCTATCCTTCTCGTCCCTTGCCTGGCAACTTTTACATCATTCAGCGACAGCGTCGTTACTTTCCCCCGGCGCATATCACCTCCCCCCTGATGGCGCGCCCGCTGCCCGAGCCGGCGGCTCTTCATGACATGATTTGCTGCTACTTCCGTTACCTTCACCCATATTTACCTGTCATCGATGCGGGCCGTTTCATACCAGCATTCGCCAACCAGCCAAGCAGCATCAGCCCCCTCCTGTTGTGGAGCGTCTTATTTGCTGCCGCTACGGTAGGAACTTGCACACCTCTCTTACCCTGTTCCCATCTGTGACCAGAGTGGCAAGATTCTAACGTGATACTTTATCAAGTTCGTCAAGCCAGAGCATTGGCAAGCGGAGTTTAGGACCAGAAAGGAATTCCAAGAGGATATCTACCGGCATGCCAAGGTGAGCTTTCCTCTGGTTGGAGACCACACATCCCATAGCATGCCGCCAGGCAAAAAGCAATGTTATAAGGCAAACGACAACACAATCGCTGACAAATTCTCCAAGGCGCTCTATGACAGCCAAATCGAAGTAGACAAGCCGACAATAATACAGGCTTGCATACTCCTCTCGTATCACCTCGTGGACCGAGAAGATTTGGACGGGCCATGTCACTGGATCGGAGTGGCAACCGGTTTGGCACATAGCATCGGCTTCCACCGAAAACCAACATGCGAGCGCGTCCAATCTTCTCCATTTTCCCAATCACAGTGTAATATTTGGGCACGTATCTGGTGGAGTCTTTACTCTCGCGAGGTCTGGCTCGGTCTCGGTTTTGGCAGGCCACTCCGAATCAACTCGGAAGATTGCGACTTACCCATGCCAGAACCCGCCGCAGTACTGAACGACATTAACAGTCTTCCAGATACACTGCGACAGTCCTTCATTCCACGCGAGTTTGAAACACTTGTACCTTTATGGATAGGGTTGCTGAAGCTGTCTGTTGAATTGGAAACAATCTTACGGCTCAACTTTCGGCCTGGCCAGCCACCCGCGTCGCTCGCGGCTCTCGAACCACATTACAGTACTCTCCAGGCAATGCAGAGCAAAGCCTGCGTGGAGTTGACGGGAGAAACACCACTCCTGTTATTACATCGCAGTGTCCTCAAGATCTACCATGGGACCGTGTTAATTGCTCTTCACCGGCCATACCTCATCCTGTCAAAGCAAAGCTCAACAACTCCTCTCGGGGAAAGCAACATCCAATCGCTCGCGATGGACAGGTACACCGCAGCCGCTTCGGCCATCACGAAGGCCGTCAATGACCTCGTACGCGCTGAACTACTCAATGTTTCACCCCCCACGCTCCCGACCTGCATCAATTCCGCCATCGGAGTACACCTCCACGAAGCGTGCCGTTCAGAGGGCATCAGCCGCCAGCTCGCGTTGCACAATGTAAACCTCCACATGCTTGTGCTTTCCCATCTCGGCAAGATTTACTGTTCCGCCGAGATACAGTATCGGTTTTTTCTCCAAATCATGAAAACGGCTGAGCCTCTTCCATCGGCTCAGAACACAAGAACATCTCGTAGAGGAAGTTGTAGTCGTGCAGGAACTGCAACCGTACGTCCCCTGCAAGCTAGTGAGCGCCAGGATGCTACCCGCGAAACAACCGCCTATGACGCGGTCACTCCAGTGTCTACGCAGCCGGTGCTCAGGGAGTGCCAAGATGCAGTTCATGGCCGAACACCTTGTAACAGCGAAGGAGATGCGCTCTTGGAGGACGCAAACATTGAACACGATTTCTTTCTGCCCTCTACTTTGTTTAATATTGACTCAACTCCCTTCTCTGAGGAGGAAATGGATTTCTATAGGCAATGGGGTCTGACAAATTTGTAGAGAAAGTTCTTGACACTGTCGTCAACCTTTCTTTCGCCTCGGAACGTGGCCTGAGAGATGAGTAATGCTCGTTCTAGTGGTAGCTGTATTGTCTAACGAGACCATGCCCCGACTATGGAAATTTGAGAGCATGGAAAACGTCCATCTCGTTCTCCCATCATCATCTCAAGTGTCCCAACTCCAAATGTCTCTGGCACACGAGAGTACACTCAACATGTTTGATTCTACTTCATAGCTTGGGTACAGGTTGAGCCGTGGTGTGGTCCTCGCGACCCTCGAAGACTTGAGCATACAATTCCGAGAGCCGGTCTCGATACAAGTCTCCGACTTTCTTCCGCTGAAGTTTGAGAGTAGGTGTAAGGGTTTCGTTGCCTACCGAGAACGGTTCGATGGAGAGGTCAAAACTTTTGACACGCTCGTAGCTCGCAAACTTGTTGGCCTTGCCCACCGCCTCGAGATCCTGGAATACCCGAGCACGCACTGCAGCATCCCCACACGCCTCTCTGATGGCTGGCAAGTCCGACGATGAAACCACACGGCCGAGGATCTGAGATGCAAAAGGCGCAAAGAGCTCGGGGTCTACACCAAACATGCCGACGGTGAATGCCTGCAGACTGTCACCATGAACAAAGGCCTGGGCGATGTATCTGCAGCCGGATAGATAGATACCCTCAAGGCGCTCTGGCGATACGTACTCGCCTTGAGCGAGCTTGAGAAGGTTCTTGCGACGGTCAACAATGGTAAAGCGACCCATGTCGTCGATTGATGCGATATCTCCCGTGCGGAACCAACCGTCTTCGGTGAAGCTCTCGGCCGTTTGCTCCGGGCTCTTCAGATACTCTTTGAATAAGTTGGGTCCCCGCAGTAGGAGTTCACCACGTGGACACGGGACATCTTCGATGGTGTAGCCCATCTCAGGAACGGAGAGCAAGCAGGCCTCTGTCGACGGTACGAGACCTCCGCAGTGTCCCGTGCTGGCATCAGCCCGATTTTGTGCCAATGCACAAGCGTACGTCTCGGTCATACCGTACCCCTGGACCACGCTAGATCCACTCACGACACTCAAGAACTTGTGCAATGCTGGATCCAGGGGCGCAGAACCGGTAATCATTGTGTGTGCACGGTCGAGGCCCAGTGAGGCCATGATCTGCCGGCCCCAGATCCTATCGTGAAGCGGGTGCTTGTTAGTAGGAGCTTCTGTGTCTTCGAGATTGGCCAATTTGGTTGCCACAATGTACCTGCTCACAGCCCCTCGGATCCCGGAAGCTTCGAGTGTGGCCGACTTGAGGATACCACCAAATCGGTTGTAAATCCTTGGCACCGATGGGAAGACAGTTGGTCGGAGGGACTGCAAACCGTCTACGAGGTTGGAAATGTCGCCGCTGAAATATCCCATCTTGGTCCCGCTGAAGGCGCCGACATGTTCCAAAAGTCGGCCATAGACGTGGGCTAGTGGTAGATACGAGATCATGACATCGTTGCCTGGCAGTCCCGCATCAAGGAGAGAGCCAACTGTCGCTGCGACCGAGCCCTTGTGTGTCAAGACGACGCCTTTGGGCGCCCCAGTAGTCCCCGAGGTGTAGTTGATGGTGGCTATATCATCCGGCTGTGGGGGCCGCAATGACCTGGAAGAGGCTGCGCCCAATTGCTCAATATCTTTCAGCGAGTAGATCTGAAGGTCCAGCTTAAGTGCTTCTGTGATGGACACTAACAGACGGTTGCGCGACAGAGAGTCTTGGTTGTCTGAGCGGGGCTGAGCATCGTCCAGTATCACCAGGCACTTGAGCCCAGGCAAATTCGGCTTGAGAGCGATCAGTGCTGGAACATGACTGAGCGAAGTAACAACACATGTCAACTCGGCGTGACGAATAATGTACTCTGATGCGTCTGGGCCCAGCGTATCGTATAACGAGACACTGAAGAGTGATTGCGACATGCATGCGAGATCGACAATTGGCCATTCAGGTCGGTTCTCGCACCACAGCCCAATGCCAAACTGTGTTCCGACCTTACCGACCCGCTCGTGAACTTCCACCAGGCCCTTTCCGATGTTGTTCCTGCGTTGCTGGACGGTTTTGAAACTCAGCCACTCCCAAGGAAGATGACATTGCCGAACGGGGTCGTATGGTCGGCGGCCCAGGTAGTCTGACTTTGGATTGCTCTTCACAGTGGCCTCGAACATGTCGTGAGCAGTCACTATATCCGGGCCGATGCCTTCCAGCAATCCATCCACAAATTTCCAATGTCTGTACACATTCGAGCGGCCCGGTTGGTTTGTTCCTGGAAGCTCGACCGAATATGGCTGGTGCTTGGGTCGTGTTTCTCTGAGATCGAGTATCCTTTGGACATGCGATGGGTAAGATGTTGAAAACACCATGCTTTCTTTGAGGCAACGAGTGCAATCCTAGAGCTGGAGAATAGAACGAGATTCAGACAACACCGGGGGATGTGGAGGGCTTACCGAAGGGAGTATGCGGGAGCGGCGCAGACCAGCGGCGTGAATAAATAGTAGGTAGGTAGACATGGAAGCACGGATAAAGATACCCTTGACGGTTATGCGAGTACTCGGTTAGGTAAGGTAGACAACGGCACCATTCATCTGCCCCATGATGTTACCGGCTGGGAATCGCCTGTGCACGCCAGGAGAGGTAAAAGGACTTTTGTACGAAGCCTCGGCCTGGGGAATCTACCGCTGCAGAATGCTACCAATTGATTACCAAGTATTCACTTGGATGTGCGACTCTGTTGAACCTCATGATTCGGCCTCGGGCTTCTTTGCTAAGCCAATGTTTCGGGGCCTTCTTGTAATGTTGGGGCACTCGGTTGTACTGGTTCAGAATCTCGGATTGTCTGGCTGCTTCATCATGAAGGTTATCAGACCTCCAAGCAGCCGGATTCCTGATCTGCCAATGCCCAGAGCAGCTTCAAAAAGGGGTCCGTCCCATCGTACTCGGCAGCATCGCTCCACGGCCGCGATCCCTGGTAAGCTCAATCACTCGTTGTCCTGCCGAGGTTCGGCCCATTTCATTCAAGACAAGGATTAGACTCGGCCGGCGGGTTGGATGCCGAGAGGTGCAGAATCGGTTCCCAAGTCCCCCACTGCCGGAGGCCTTGACCGAATTTGAGTGGGGCCGCTGAGGGAACCGCGGCACCGAGCAAGACTCAGCACTTGCTACGGATTACTCCTATTTTGGCGAGCTTATACCATCTGATTGAATGCTAAACCACCGCAGCCGGACGCGAGTCGATTAATGGGCGATTTGATATATAGCTAGCAGTGTTTTGAATACTACAAAGTACGTCACGAAACGACATTCGAGCGACAGTCACATCCAACGTGTGTTCTTAATGATGATGTACTTTCTACGATAGTGGTATTACCTATTGGGGCGAGAAATTATTTATATGGCCAATCATAGTTCGCAGCCAGGTATTCCACCAGTGCCGCCCCAACTAATATAAGGACGCAGGCTATTCATGGAGTGATTCCGAGAACTACGTATTATGACATTTGGCAGAGTGCCTGAAAAGTACTGATACGCTTCCTCATTCATAAAGCTTGGACGTACTTGTCTTTTTGCGTTTGTTGTTTTCATCTTGGGCTCATTCTTGAGTGAATGCGTCGGTTTAGGAACCTCAGCTCGCCGCACTGATCACCTGGGAGACTCCCCGAAGTATCGCAGTCATGGATACTAGCTGATAAGTCAGGCACCATACTTATGAGCAATAAAGGTGTCTCGTACTTCGTGCATCTTAATTGGGAATTCGATGGACAGGCTATCATGTATAACATAGGAAACCTGGACATCAGGGAGCGGATTACGAGCTTACTCTCGTAATACTACATCAAGGGAGGAAAAAGCTCTACCAACGGCTATATGCGCCACTAAGGCATTGTTCATTGCCGCAGAACAGAGAAAACGGATTACAGTAATCATGCAACACAATTGAGAACAGTTTTGAGATTCGTTCCTTTCTGAATCAATTTATACTAGTCGCCTCGGCTTGAACCTTGTCGAATTCAGTCCAGTTGTTTAGCGAACATGACTACAAAATTGCAATGCCATTAACATGGCTGCTAACCCCCCCTTGAAGCTATGTAAGTAAAATATTACTTGTTGAGGAAGAATGAGATGCTTACGTGGACAATTTGCCGGTGCGCTGGTGAAGAAGAATGTCCACCGGTTCGTTTCGCGACATCGACGAGCCAATGATTCTAGGTTGAGCATCTCACCCAAAGGCATTCCCCATAGAGATAGGATATACTCGTGAAGGTGGTATTCTGACATTCTCAGTCAGCGAATCCCCAGCCGCAAGCACATGCACTTCTCTGGTTCGGAGAATGAGGCAAGAAAAGCACAACTAACCAGCCTTGGTTGGCCAGGCTTCAAACGTGGGCGAGTCCCCGGCAACAGCAGCAAAGTAGCAGTCATGCAGCCAGTCAAGTATAGACTCCTCTTGAGCCACGCCTCCAAACTTGATTTCTTTGTGACCCCTGAGCCCTAGATGGGCGCGTTCGGTTGGACTTTTACTGTGATAAGCCTCGACCCACCCACTCCGGATAAAGAGGATGTCGCCAATCTCAATGTCGCCTCCTTGCGCCTTAGGCCGGATGTCTATGCCCTGCGCTCGGCCACATTCGAGCAAGTCTTGATAACATATGCTGCAAGTGTCGTATGGATCAAAATCAAGACCCTTGGCGTGGGCATAAGAGCAGAAATCCAGAAGCACGCCGCGGCCAGCGATGCCACGCTCAGCCCAGTGGTGAATTGAGCATTTCAGATTACTGGCCGGTCCCTCGATGTTTTGTCCCTTTGTCTGTTTTGAAGGCGTATTCTATTAATTTCATCACGGTTCACAGAGCAGGAGGTGTATGAGCGTCCTACATTGTTATAAAATGTCCCGGAAGGTAGATGCGCAAACTGTTGTTGTTGTTGTTGTTGTTGTATTTAACGCCGTGGCGGCCGGGCTAGAGCCCTTACCGCAGACCTCCCGAAGGGTATATGGCGTGGAGGGCCGTGAGCCAAGGCTACCTACTCTACAGTACGTCGTCTCTTTACATCGTCCTCCAAATCATGCCTTGTGGCCACTACGCGTTCTGTCTGTCCCCGGTTCCCGCTGGTGCCCCAGTTTCATTCTTTCCCAAATCGTCCCTTGGAATCGGGAGGTTCTTTGTAGTCCGCACTCACATCTACCTAGGTGTGGATGCTGCTACCGCAGACAGATCTTCTGGAAGAAGTCCGTCACGCGGAGAAAGGCCTCGAAGCCTCGTGGGTCGGTGATTAATCTCTTGAAGTAGGCCTCGAGAGATCCCATAGGACCTATGGGCTCGGGCATACTGCGAGAGTGGAGGGTCGGCCACCGTTGCCTCCTCGCCAGCGTTAGTCGACAGTAGACCAGGTGGTCCACGTCTTTCGCCTCTCCACAAGAGCACATCATTAGAGCGTCGTCGTGGTTGAAACGTCGGTGATATTGCTCGAAGTCCCCGTGACCCGATCGTGCCGCCAGCAGGTGATGTAACGTAGCCCGCGGCAAGGCCAGTTCAGGAGGGCTGGACAGAGCTGCCTCAAGCCCCAAGTCCGCGTACCGCGGCCTTCGCTCTTTATACCACCATCTCCTGTGCTGGCTTTGTAATTTTTCCCTTGCAAGCCGCTTGATGCCCGCTAGTGTTGCCATTTGACCCATCCGCGCCGGCAGTGTCGTTCCTTCTTTGGCCAGCCGGTCCGCGGCCTCGTTTCCTTCGATGCCCTGGTGTCCCGGGGACCAGTGCGTCCGTATATCAAATATCCTGGCCGCTTCTTGGATTTCGAGGAACGCGTCTTGTGACGAGTCCGGCGCCTTGCCGCGGATGCCTTGTATAACGCTGGTGTTGTCGATACATATGTGGATTGGATGACCGCGATTGGTGAGCAGAGCCCTTCTGAGGCCGGTTCGCGCCCCTTCGACCTCGGCGTCGAACACTTCTGCTAGTCCGAGTCGGCCGCACCCTTGCGCTATGCGTTTGGAGTCTCGGTAGATGACGAAGCCGTACCCCACGGCTCCGTTCGTCGCCCTGGAGCCGTCCGAGAAGACGATCATATGGCTTTCCGGTACTGTCTTTAGCCAGCGCTCGAAAGCTTTCGCAGCCTCTTCTTTGCATTGAACTACTATCTGATCCTGTGAGCTTGGCAGGTACTGTGATTGGAGGAACGTTGGTCTTCCGCATCTTGGCAGAAGTTCAGCCGTCCGTTGTAGTCTCGTCTGTTGCTGTCCCTGCTGGGAGAGCCGCGCGACTAGCGGGTGTCGGCGATCAATCCTCTGTA